TAATTACAGTTATACCTCAGTTCATGAACTTGATTCTTTCCATGATTGTGCTCTCAAATCAAGTTGTATGTGGACTGAAACGTACCCAATGGTCAAGTTCCGTGTTGACTTTATGGGGAAATTTCCTTTGATTTTCATTCAGTTTAGTTTGTAACCAGAACTTCGGAGAAAATAGTTTGTGAGCTGAGGTACCAATGTATAATTTTGAGAGGACTATATAGAATGATGGAAGCTATGAAAGGAAATTTAGAAATAATGTTAAAGCTGTCTTGCAATATAAATCTTCATACTTCCTCTGACAAGCTACGTGGCTTGTTCTTTAACAATGTTGGGGACCGACCAGGTAGCTCAGTGAATTAAAGCACCTGCTTAGGAGATGCAGGGGCTGGAGGTTCAATTCCAGCCTGCCTGCTGTGCTGGCCCCGCCCCCAGGGCACACTGAGACAGTGATTGAGACTGGGCGTGGTGGCACACGCCTGTAATCCTAGCACTTGGGAGGCTGAAAAACAGGAAGGATCACTACAAGTCCAATCTGTTTAGTGAGACCCCATAGACCCTGTACTAAATTCCTTAAAAAAAAATTAAAAAGAATGTCCTTAGGGCCAGCCAGATAGCTCAACAGACTAAAGCGCCTGCTTAGGCAGAGCGTGTGGGCTGGGGTTTGATCCTGGCCTGTCATGCCAGCCCCATCCCCAAGAAGCATTGAGACTGGGTGTGGTGGTACACACTTGTATTCCCAGTGTTTGTAAGCTGAAAACAGGAGAATCACTACATAGTGAGACACTATAGACCCTATACTAAATATCTGCCCCCCCAAAAAAAAAAAAAAACCCAATGTTGGTTTATCGGTTTGATTTCTATATTCTTTCCAACATCATAATTTTCCTAGTATTTTTAAGACACATATTATATTGCCTATTGAATTATACTTCTTCTAGGTCAAAAGCCCTAGTTTATTCATATCTGTCCTAATGTTACATTTTTACAGATCAACGACTTGTGATAATAAAATTCCTTTGAATTCAGTGTTTACTGATGTCCTTTGAAAAATGTAAACATTATTCCTGTTGCACATAGTATCATACATTTCTAAACACTCCTTTGTAAAACAACAATTTTAAAAAGTGGACCTTATTCATTGGAGTATTTTTCTCAGCATTACTAATCTGAAGAGGGTACTAAAAAGCTTTAGATTTAGTCTGTATCTTTTAAATATCCTGGGCATCTTTCTAAAGTGTAGTCTAGTGTTCTTAGCAACTAAATCACTCCCTATAAGGCAGTACTCTTTGCATGAACCCACTTGTAATCTGTTGAAAGTTGTAGTCTGAGTAATTTGAGTGAAATATTTACATACATTTTCTTGGATATTGGTAAATCAAATATTTAATGAAGTTCAAATATTTCCTTGCCAAAAGACTGGAATCCAAGGAAATTCTTGAACCTTTGGCTAAAATGTCTCTTAGAGAAGAATATATTATTGATCCATTACTAGAGAAAGTAACTAGCTAAACTTGCTTTTAATGTTTAGTAGTGCTGTTCTTCATATTATTTTCTGTAGGGTTTTTTTCAGTTAGAATGTATGGTCCTTAACTTTTTACTTGATGAAGACCTTGAAAACCAAACCTTGAAAAAGGATTATGAGAAAGCCTTTAAAAAGTACCAGGGGCTTGTGGTAAAACAAGAACAGCTGTTGAGAGGTATGAATTCCTAAGCAATGAGAAAAGCAACAAAGTATTTGCTATAAATGCATTTGTTTTGTTCTTTTTTTGTCATACCAGTAAGTTAATATCAGAATAATTGAAAGTTATTTAGATTTTAATATGTTGAGTCCTTCTATCTGTAGTAATTTTTAAGTGTTCATTCCACTGTGTTTCTCCATGTACTACTTACATGTATTTCAACTTGTTGTATGACCTTTTCTTTTTGGTATCAGGAATTGAACTCAGGATCTCATGCTTGAAAGCAGGTGCTGTGCCTCTGAGCTATATCTCAGGCCACCCTTTCAAAAAGAATCTTCATCTCTAAAACTACGTTTTTTATAAAGTGAATTACTTAATTGCTTTTCTAGGAAATCGATATAAGAATTTTCAAAATAATCTTTTAGTAGAAAGTAATTCCTTACTTAACAAAAAAGGGTATACAGATGAATGTCCATTTTGTATCTGTGTATTCAAAGT